CTCTCCCCCATTTCAATTAGAATCGCCCCGATTCTCTACGGTCTCATGGAACCGTTCCATGATGATTGATCTTCTGTCTGGGTGGATGTGTCTTAAGTAATCTGCTGGATATATACCTGCAAGTCCTGGTGGGCAATCCTTGAAAGCTAATACAATCTCCTTCGTTCTTTCCAATTTTCCACAGACTCCAATTACTTCTTCTGCTCTTGCTTTAAATTCCGCTAGCGTGCGTGGTGGAGTTTTAGGGTATCGCTCATCACCGCTGTTGAATCGTTTTAAATATTCTATATTTATTACCCTGTGCTTCTTTGTTGTGCTTGGGAGATCTATTTCATACGCGTTCTCGTTGATTCGTTTTACTACTCGAAAAGGTCCGAAGTAAACGGGTGATAATTTCGCTTGCTTAGCTGTTTCAAAATACGCTTTTCGATGTATGAGGATAAAACTTCCAATCTCGAAGCTTTCTATCCTTCTGTGTCTATTTGCCTGAATCTCATTTTCTTTTTGAGCATCCACAATGTAATCCTGTGTTCTAAGGCATATAGCTTTCTGAGTTCTGATCCAGTCTTCACTATGAGTTAAAGAGCCGTTTGCAAACACACTGTGCATTCCTTTAGGATGTCTTCCTAGGTCTGCGTAGAAAGGTGTGGTTTTTATCGACTTTTGGGTACTATTGTTATAAGCGAATTCCATCATCGCCAATTTGTTATCCCAATTTCCCAACTCTTCCTGTCCTAAGGATCGCAACATGCGATTGACAGTAGCATTTAGTCGTTCTGTTTGTCCATCTGTTTGAGGATGGACCGCCGTAGCCATCTTTAACTTGATTCCCAATGAGTTTGTAATTTCTAACCAAACTTTATTTGTAAATTTGAAATCTCGATCCGATACAATCAGATCAGGTATACCATGATACTTGAATACGTTCTCTAACATAATCTCGACTACTTCCTTCGCACTCATCTTCTTCTTACAAGGTATGAAGTGGCCTCTTTTGGTTAGACGATCGATGACAACCAAGATTGCATCATTTCTTTTAACCGTCGTTGGTAATCCTGTTAAGAAATCTATCAGAATTGAGGACCATCTTCCTTGGGGAACCTCTAATGGTCGTAATAGTCCTGGCTTCCGTTGTGTGGAGTGTTTCGTAGTCTGGCACGTATAACATTTTTCCACGAGTCTACTTACATCTTTGTATATCTTGGGCCAGTAGTAAGATATACTGACATTACCTGTGGTAATATACTTCCCAAAATGTCCCGCCATTGCATTGGAGTGACATCTTTCTAAGACTTCTTTTCTTAGGTTTTCGGGTATGCATAATCTATTTGGGTTACCATCTCTCTCATACGCAGGTGCGTAATATATTAAACCATCATCTAGTCTAAAGTGCTTTATATAATGAGCCATAGGTTGGCCAGGTAACGCAACTTGTAAGATTTCTTTGACCTCTTTGAACTTCTTGTCGTTTTCATATCCCTTCCTTACCTTTTCTAGGAACTCTTCGGTCTGTAAGGGAGTTTCCACTGTCGTTATTGAATTTATCTTTCTGTTTTCCGGTATGCGACTCAACGCGTCTGCAGCTTGATTTTTTGCACCCGGTAGATATTCAATGTCGAAATCGTAATCGGCAAGGAAATCTAACCATCTTGTAATTCTTCCACTAGGAATATTCTTCTGATCTAAGAGAAACTTTAACGAATGATGATCAGTTCGTATCTTAAAGGTTTCACCTTTTAAGAGGTGCTTGTATTTCTTCAAAACTTCTATAATCGTTAAGAATTCCTTTTCTCTTGTTGGGTATTTCTTCTGTTCTGGCTGGAAAGATTTACTGAAATACGCCACAATACCTTTAAACTTTCCATTATTATGATCTCGCTGTTCGATTGTAGCACCCATAGCTTCATCCGAAGCATCAGTTGTGACTACATAAAGATCTTCACGTTTCGGGGATATTAGCATAGGAGCCTCTGTAAGTCTTCTTTTAAGTCGGACCCACGCTTGATCTTGCTCGTCTCCCCAACCTTCCTTTTGGTTCGCATGTCTCTGAAGGGCCTGGACTATCTTCAGATAGTCTCTAACATATTTGCGATAAAAATTGGTTAATCCCAAAAATCTCTGCGTATCTTTGTATACTTTGGGGGTCGGCCACTCATTAATAGCCGTAATCTTTTCTGTCGCTGGCTTCGTACCTCCTTCTGCAATAACATGTCCTAAAAATTCGACCTCTGTCATCAAGAATTCACATTTCTCTTCTTTCACCACTAAATTGTTCTCCTGTAGGAGCCCGAAAACTTCTCGCACGTCGTTCCAGTGTTGTTTTTCGTTCCTACTATGAATTAGTATGTCATCCAAATACACGATTGTACTCTTGCCTAACATAGGTTGAAGGATGGCATTCATCATTCTTTGAAATGTAGCCGGCGCATTACATAATCCAAATGGCATCACATTCCATTCAAAGAATCCTCTATTTGTAACAAACGCTGTCTTGTGTCTATCATCCGCTTCTACTGGGATTTGGTAATAGCCCTGAGCTAGGTCTATTTTAGTAAAATATTTCAGTGATCCTACTTCATCTAGCAAATCCTCGATATGTGGAAGGGGAAATTTATCCTTGATAGTCTGAGCGTTTAAGGCTCTATAATCAACGCACATTCTGAGAGAGCCATCTTTCTTCTTTACAAAGCATATAGGCGCGCTATATGGACTTTGGCTTGGCTTTATAAAATTTTTTGTAATTAAACTTTGCAACTGTTTTTGAAGCTCATCTTGTTCCTTTACCCCTAACCGATATGGTGGTCTCACGGGTGGGATGCTTCCTTCTTTGAGAGCTATTCTGTGGGAGGTCCCTAGTTCCTCTACCTTACGCCCCAATTTCTCTTGATCGAATACAGTCTCATAATCCTGCTTGAGATTCGCTAGTAACTGCTTTTGCGTCTCATTCAAGCTTCCTTTACTCTTTTTATCCGAATGAGCTTTAACTATGGCCCATTCGAGTTTCTCTCTTCGATCCTTATCAATTTCTTCTGCGGAAACTAGACGAATTTTAACCTGGTCTTTCTCTTCCTCTTCGTCTTTCGGTTTCCTTGTCTGCGGCTCTTCCTGGAGCTCTTCCTTTACATCCTCTGGCCTATTAGCGTCCTG